CCAGGGCCATTCTCAATCCAGCTTGGGGGGGGGGTCCTGGCCCGTGGCTGGAGGGCTCCCTCACCTAACAAGAAGCCACGAGACACCTTTCCAAACAGCTCAAAAGCCCGCTGGTCTGCACTGTGGCACCCATAATTTATTTGCTGTTGCCAGTCAGAAATGGAGACGCAGCACTTGGGGCAGGCTCAGTTCACCACTTCCCTCCGATCAGCGGCTCCCTGCATCCCTGTTTGCGGTTCCTCGGGACAAGAGACCAGGCTGCGGAAGCGGTAACGATGGACGCAAAGCAGAAGGGTAGCCTCAGGGACCAACGAGCGGAGACGGCAGCAGCCATCAGCGCAACGCCTGAGCTCCCTTGCACACCACGCCTCTGACTTCCTTGTTTTTCCAACACCGGGACTCTATCAACTGTTCACTATCTGCTGCATCTGTGTATTTTTGTGCCTTTTAATTTTTGTACTGTATGTGTAAGCATAACCACTCCTCCATCCAAGACTTGGGCAACATGGGGCACTTGGGGCTGAGACAAAGCAGTTGCTTCCCCAGTAGCTAAGGCATGGTGAAAGCACTTTATCCCCCGGCAGAGACAGGGAGCCTGTTCCTTGTTAGGCAGCGTGGGAAGGGCTGTCCCCGCTTCCCTGCGTTCCCAGATCTGCGTGCACAGTGAGCTGGAGTGGCGGTGGGCAGGCAGATACCCTCGAGTGACCCCCTTTCAGCTGGGCAGGGAGCACAGACACGGCTTCTGCCTGGAAGCAGAAGAGCAGACGCAGTGGCCGAGGGGCAGGACTCGTGCCCCGTAACGCCGCTCCTGCCCGCAGCCCTCTGACAGAGCGGGCTCGAGCCCCGAGCAGAGCAAAGCACCCGGTCGAACCCCTGGCCACGTGTCCCCCCAGAAACTCCCCGCCACCAAACCAAGGTCAGTGCTGCAGAGGTGTCTTCCGAAAGCAGCTCGGTCTGCTTGCTTCAGACCCAGCCCAGCGCGGTAGTTGCCTGGGAGCAAACAAGAGCGCGGTTTTGCTGCACATCCAGTCTTTTTTTCAGCCGACGCAGGTGAAGGCCCTGGTCCCCGTCCCCCGGCAGCACGATGCTGGCGCAGGCGGCAGAGCAGCCCCGCTGCCCACAGCTGCC